AGGTTTACGATCATCATCCTTTGCGAAGATACAACGAACTACAAAAACAATTACGTATGATTTCAAATACACATATTTTATGTACAGAAAAAAGAAATGTTTTGCAGTTGAAATGCCGAAAATTTAAAAAATTAATTTAAATTATATATCTTCATAACGCCAGCTTACCTTTCCCGATGGATTTCTCTTTCTTGGAGATTCGCCAGACGGTCCAGGTACTCCTTCCTCCATTTCACACACTTTTTAAACAAAAAATAAATACAATAACATAAAAAATAAAAAATATGAAATATAAATGAAAATATAAAATGAAATATACAATATAAAGGAAATACTTACAGAAAAATAATACAATACAGAAATAAATACACTCCACAAAAATAATACAATACAGAAATAAATACACTCCACAAAAATAATACAATACAGAAAGAAATACACTCCACAAAAATAATACAACACACTTTAACAAAACACCCCTTCACTACCCGTATACACTCCAAATGATGCACTTTCGCGTAGATGCAGCGCGTGGAGGCGCCACAGCGACGCTGTGCGCAAGCGCATGGAAGTGAAAATTTCGCCAATCAGGGCCAAGATGCGCAAGAATGAACGAAAACTCGTCTTTTCGCAGTTATGGACTCTGGTGAACTCGATATTATATCCTTCATTTCTGTTGTACGTATTCTTCCATGTATTAGGTTAGTGTATCTGAAGTATTCTTTTGTAAAGTGAAATCTTAAAAGTACATGATCTTTTCCCTTATAAAAACGATATGTTTAATCAAAATAATTTGTGCATTTGTAAAAGTGTATTTTTTGATATTTTTGTCAACGATTGTTTGCTCTCTATTATTTTATTATTGTAAATTTCTTTATGTAGACAATAAAGTATATTATTGGTACTGGCGGCCAGATGTTCGACAGCCGAGCCGACCGGGACGGCGACCAGGATTATGACTCGGATATGATGTCGGCTATTTTTTTCGCAAATAAGAAAACTAATTTTCAGCCACAATAGGGCATTTTAATTTTGACTGACCGAGGGTCCGAAATAGCCGCACCATAAACCTGGTCTCCGTGGCGAAGTGCATGAGTCAACGGGCCTAGCAAATTTCCCCTCAAGAGCCGAGATTGGGAGGGAGATGTCACGGGCCGTATGAATTCTTTGGGAACACCTAACTGGCGGAGGCGAGAAACGCCTATTATCGGCTAACTTTAAAACCGGGAACGCGAACGGAAAATGTATGTATTTCGACTAAGATTTCAAGAGAGCTAGATCGAGAACGATCAACGAAGGATTATTAAAAAATATAATAACTGCGTACTCAGTGATTTCTTCTGTTACCTCCGAATCCCTCATTCGCTCGTACCATCCCTACATTTATAAGTTTTTTTTAATGAAGGATGTCCATTTCTAAATTTTGTATACTAATGATTATTAGCTTTTACATTTGCATTACATTCTTCTAGTGATAAATTAATTCTTTTCAAAACAGTTTTCATTGTATTGTTACAAAGTTAATATTCACTTATATTTATAAAAGATAGTTTGCTTGAAGATTCAAACCATTCGTAGCTACAAGAAATTATTTTTTACAATTAACTGTAGGTATTACTGGTAGATAATGCTTGTATATTTTAAAAAACTGCTTTTTATTTAAGATAATGCATAACTATTAATTATCAAGCAATATTTACTACCTAAGATCTTACGAAATTCAGACTTTGGAAATTCATTGCATTCTGTTGTAAGTGTAAACTGATGGAAGAAGTGAGACAGATTTGGATCCATTTATCCTTGTATTATCCAGTAAGAAATCTGGGTGTAGCAAGGTATAGAACTAGATTAGACTTTTCCGATTATCCTGAAATTTGATTTTAGCAAGCTACGCACTAAAACTTTTAGTACATTAGTATTAAAACTCTTGCATCCAAATTGTAGTGTCTCTCCCACAACCTTACTTGGGAAAAATAGATACAGCTCACATAGTGGTTAGGATAGATCTCCATAGATAAATGACATTTTATATAAGCCAACTTAACACTTTGTTGACTGGCAATTTTACAATAATAACATGGGATATTGTAAAAATTTCACAATATGCCATATTATCCTGGGTTTTGAAAATCAAAGTAGTCAATGCAAGTGCAAACACGAGTTAACTCGTGACAGGTCAACAATGTATTGTTCATATGCTATGTAATCTCTTGTTAGAATATAGATACATTGCATGTACAATGGATAAAAAAAGTATTGGCATATTTGCTTATTTAAAAATATCTTTATATCTCTAAGTGATATATTAATATAAAACATATCCTTTAATGTCTTGTAACATGCAGAAGTAGTGTACCTATTTTTTCAGAACATTGAATAATGTCATTTAAGGAAGTCAGGAAGAATAAAAGAAAATTTCATGGTCAAAAGAGTAGTGGTGCGCTTGCAATTTATTTAAAAAATGCATTACGTTCTCATTTAGCGAATACAAACCAAATGTTTAATATTTACATATCTTTGGCATTAATTACTATTTGCAGCCTCGAGATTTTTAGTAACACGTGAAGAAATTTTCTAATAGTACAGATTTCAAATCATTTTCGTTAGTTACTTTCTTTTTCCAAATTTCTAAATTCCGAATTTCTAGAGATGATTGTGGTGGTATGGAAAGTCGTCTAGACACGTTGTAAAGTACCTACTTCTGTATTTTCATGGCTGTGTGCTTCGGGTCGTCGTCGTGGACCTAATTTGACTGCACTTTATAACAAATTGTTTCGCAACACATCTATATATGCCTGAGCATTTTTACATCAATGAATGTAAGATTTCTTACTTCATTGTACGATAGATACCCCCAACGTGTTTCATCGTCGGTCGGAGGTCTCCTCCAAACAAACCTCTTTCCATCAGAACCAAAAATGTTAAATTTGCTCTTATCAGAGAATATTATTATTGTCTTCCAGAACTCCATTGGCTTATGTATGTACGTTTTAGCAAAATGGAGTCGTCTTTTAACCGACTTCGAAAGGGAGGAGGTTACTCAATTCGATAAGTGCGTGCGTGCGTGCGTGCGCGCGTGTGTGTGTGTGTGTTTTTTTTTTTGTGTTCACCGATTACTCCGATATGGATGGACCAATCGGAACGAAACCTTTTGTATCTTGTAAGGTATGTCTTCCGATTGGTCCCATTGAAATAAAATTTTTCATTTTTTCATTGTTATTGCAAGGAAGTTTTTAATGTCAAGATTGGACGATTTCAATGACCTTTTAATATGTTGTCGGGGGCATGATTCTGAACAACTTTTTCCTTATGTATAATTAACGGAAAGCTTTAGTTTCCGAGATATTCGTGAAAAACTATTGTTACTACTGCATTTGCATATGCATTGAATTCTACTTATGCCTACGTGTCTCTACCGGTGTATGAGTCAGCATGCAGTCGCCGATTCTCTACTGTTTCTATATATGTACATATGTATACTCTGCAAGGCATGTACCGATCGCGATGAAACCTTTCGCATTTAATAAGAGATATTTCCGCGATGATCCCACTTGCAAAAATGTATGGAACTTGTTAGCGTTAAAAACTATCGTTATTGCAATTAACCAACAAGAACGGTAAACCACCTTACGGCATCCTACAAATACTGCTCTTTCCACTAAAAAGTGTGAAATAAAATAATTTTTAACAAAAAATATAACCGACTTCGAAATGCATTAAAAAGTATGAAATAATTTCTACTTCATTTATACAAATACCCAACAGCTATTAATAAAACCTATTTACTCGTTAAATCGTATACTAAATACCCAGATAGCACAGAAACATCGTTAAAACATCTTAAAGATATCTGTTCAAGATATTGAGGATATCTTATGAATATCCGAAAGGTCCTACGAATGCCTGAAATACGTCCTGTATATATCCTATGTTAGAAAACGGGATGTCTTAAAGATGTCCTACCGATATCCTACAGATGTCTTACAGACGTTTTAACACTTGGCATGCGGGTATACTTTGCCGCCAACTTACGCGTGCAGCGGGTGTTTTTTCGTGAATCGCGCGGAAGTTTGGTTATTCAGAAAAATCGCAGTAAATCGAAAACTATTTTGTTTTTATGAACGAAACTTTTTTTATTTTACACTTAAATATATACTGTATGATTATTTAACAAAAGAAAACGATATTTTTACGAAATCATAAAAATAAACGATTTTTAAAATTTTACAATGTATTCAAAAATATTTTTTCATGACAAGTACAAATAGAACTGATAACACGTTAATAGTTCTTTACAGTATGGTACCGTTCAAAGCATTTTCTTCTGTGAAGAGGAACACGACAGAAGCTACATATGAAATACGTTTCACTTCGCACTTTTTTGGCTGCGCATACACGACATTGTCTTTGTGGATTTTTCTTCTTCTCGGCACCAACAATTTTCTCCAATACGTGTTTGCGCATATCCATGGATAATCTTCCAGGAGGGTCGCGTTTTGATATCATTTGCTCTGGTTCTTCAGTGCTGATTTCAGGTAGTTCACCAGTAACCCAATGTCGTACGATGTCGTGCAAAAATTTCTTGTATTTTATTTTCTGCGTCTTTGTCGAATTGTATATTACATATGCATTGAAAAATGCACAATTCATCATGTACATAGCTAAGCGCTTTGTCCACTTCACTGTTTTTTTCGCAAAATACTATAGTAGGATAAATACTGATCGGCCCGATCTACTCCTTTCATGTACTTGTTGTAGTCGATCAAAGCATTTGGCTTTATAATTTTTTGTCTTTTGATACGATCAACATTACTACTTTCTTTCAATTCCGCGGAATGGATTGAAGAGATGAGACTGACTTCTTTCTTGGATTGCCAAACTTGTACCAATATATCATTTATTCTTCGAAAAATTGTTTCTCCTTTTTTCAAATTAGTTTTTTTCAGGCACTCTGGTAGACCTCTATTCTTCCTAATTGTTCCGCGAATTCGTATTTTTTTTTATAAAAGGGCTTCCGTGTTATCGACGCTGTTGTAGTAATTATCCATGTACAAATGGTGCCAGACATCAGTATATGGCGAAACTACTGTGAGTATCGTTTCGATCAACCGTAATCCCTGAGCTGCATAAACTTCAAAATTGCAATAACCAGTGTCACTTTCAGACAATATTCGTATGAGTATGCCGTATTTTATAATTTTTCCAGCATTGTAAACTCTAAAAAACAATCGTCCTCTCCAAGGTATTATGTCCTCATCTAACGATACTTGTTGTTTCGGTTTGTAAATGTTATTGAATTTTTCAACAAAATAATTTAGTATAGGCCTGACTTTGAATAATCGATCAGAATCGTCCGTGATGTCTTCATTGTTATTGAAATGCCAAGCCTTCCATATTTGGCGAAATCTATCCCTTGACATAGTTTTTGAAAAAAACGGTGTACTTGTGCAGATATCAGTTGACCAATAATCGTCTCGGGAGTCTTTACGAGCTTGTCCCATGAAAATAATAAGCCCCAAAAATGTCTTCATCTCCGGAATCGTAATATCTCTCCATTTAATGCTTTTGGGAGATATTTTGAACTGATTCATATTTTGATAATAATATCTGTTTGATTCCGAGACTAAATATGCAAAAAAGTCATCGCCTATAAATAACTTCACTGCATCAGCTGTGGATTCAGGAACATTAGCCATGTTAGTTATCCCAGGATGACCCAAAAACTCTTCAAGGTCTGGAGGATTGTCAATCGATGACCATTCATCTGCTTCTTCATCAGAAGTTGTTTCCGAACTACTAGAAATTCTTCTTCGGACGAACACTCGAGAACGTGGAATAATGTCATCATCGTCACTTTCTTCAATATCTTGACTTTCAGAATCACTATTATACGAAAAGTCCGATACTCTGTCAGCGCATATTTCTTCATCACTATCATTGTCACAACGGCTCATTTTATTAATTTTGTAATCAATAATAAAAAACCAAGCTTCAAATTGACAAAACACGACTTGTACGTTCTGGTGCTAGGAATTCGATTGAAGACGAAATAACTCAACAAAAGACCGAGTAACTCGACAATCATAACTTGTAGGAAGAAAAAATGCAAAGCGTTGCCTAGCAACGCAAACAACACGCATATAATATCACACATACATATAATTATACGTATTTAGTGGATTTGTGGTAGTTAGCGGGTATCCACCACAAATCTACTAAATACGTGTTTTTACGTGACCCGCGCTCCAGTGACAGACTGCAAAAAACGTAAAAATACGTTGCCCGCATGCCAAGTGTTAAAGTTGTCTTATGAATGCCCTAAAGATATCTTATATATACCCTACAGATGTCATAAATATGGTTTAATGAAAGTATAATCGTTTTCAGTATAATAATATTTTATTTAAATGTTCAAAATTGTTTTGGTGTTACATGACTTCTATCAAACGCTCTCCTCAGCCAATTTTGAATTGAGACCTCCATTGTCCTTTTACTATCCCCAAGGTTTGCCGTTTCAGCAGCAACTAAAATAAGAATTTGTACATGTTCAATTATACAGAAATCATCATTGGAACCATTAAAAACAAGGCGATACTTACATATCACCAACCTAGCTAAATGCAAGGTGCAGAACACTTTTTTGCCCTTTCTTCCTAGCCAGCTGTATTTCAGCGCTAAGCTGTTATCTATAATGGAGGACAACACCCTTTTGACAAATTGATAGTTATTGTCCCCCCTGTTTTGGCTAATTCCTGAACCTGGAAGTAAAATATTGTTTGTAAATTATGAAAGATAAAAGCTGTTCGATATATCAGTATCTTGCTTACTGCATCTTTAAAATGGTCCTCCTTTGCTAAGGAGGTTTCTAAGACCGACAAATCTTCTTCCCGCGTAAGGGGGAACTTCAGTTCTTCATATCTACAATAGATTGAAATTGGTTCTGCAATAAGCCGACTTTACGTGCTAATTTCAATTCTTTCATGTCGGCGGTTAAATCCATTAATAATCCGCGGATTAAATGATTTTGCTTTATTAATGTGTCTAGGTGCTGGTTTCTCTCTCTACAGCAGTAACACATGTCTAAAGCATTGCATCCTACAACAAGTTGTTTGTTAGGTATTACATTTGTTGAAATACATTTAATCATGTTTAGAAATTATGTAAATGAATTAACTCACCGCTACTGCTGGGACCTGTCGTGGCTGTTACGGTGGGAGCTGCCGCGGATGCATTCCCTGCAGCACTATCGCCGACCGTTGTTGTTCCTTCCGGCATCGGTGGAGGCGAGGGTAAAATCAGAGAATCACTCTCCGATTCCTCGCTCTCCGATGAAACAAATCTGCGTGTCCTTTTTCGCCTTCGCATTGTCTCTACTTCTGACTGGAGGTCACTAGTGTCCTCCGCTATCCTAGCTTTCTCTCTCGCTTTGATATAAGTATCTGAAAATGTGCAATAGCATGTTATAGTACTTACACGTTTATGTTATCTAACAATAGATAACATAAGAGGTGTCGGCCAAGATAAATTTATCGGCTCAGATCTTTTAATTGCGGCTGTTAAGCCGTTTCTCTGCAACGTTGGCCAGTGACACAAATCTCCTCGTATCCAAGCAGACGGGACAGCCTCGACGGAACCATCTTCCACAAACCTCACGACGGTCCAAGTTTTTGCTGACATGTTCTGTGTTCCTAAAAAATTTTAGGCGAGATAACGTTTTCATGCTAAGAGTACTAATAACTACTAAATGATAAATTAAAAGATGAACTAAAATGATAGAGGTAAACAAAAAAGGCAATTTTAAGTTGTGAATATAGATAAATACAAATAGACAGAGAATTATCGATTGGAATGAAGCAAGGGGAAAATGACAAATTTTTCTGCATGTTGTAACTTGACACATTTATAATTAATATCTCTGAAGTAGAATATTTCAGAAGGTCCTAAATGTGGCTCTACTAAAAAAATACCGAACATTGACGACTTAAATGGTTGTGTATAAAAATCTGTAGCAGTTAAAAATTTTCGACCTATTAATTTATATTCGTTATTTACTTCAATTGCATTTTGCATAAGAATGATACTACCGTCGCGAAAACTGCAGTAGTTGTTAGGATCGGTAGTTTTTAAAATAAAATTGTTAAATACAACCGTTTCAAATTGCTTTGAGACTGAAATATTTTCTATTAATGCTGATTTTTAAAAATTGGGTATTCTATGTTTTCACTTATTTTTGTGTTAAGGAGATTACATTTTTCTAAATGTCTTTTAACTATTTGTTGCAAAGGTTTATCTTTTTTCCTAATGGATTTTAATATACTCTGTAAAAAATTTTAAAACGGAAATCTGCTAAACTCATCAACTGGTCCATGTCTCTTAACATCTTCTGCGATGTGCAACAAATTGTGAATATTGTGAGATACATGTTCAGATCCATATAGTACTTTAACTGTTGTAATAAAATGTTCCAATAATTGTGACGCGTAATCGATATGTTCGAAATACCTAGGATTTGTTAATATAGTTAATCCTACGTGCAGCGAAAGAAAATTTAAATATTTGTGTCTACTTTAATTGTGAATTAAAACTACTGGACCAGTGTAAAATAAAAATTGTCGAAATTCTGTCGCTTTTCACCTTTTCACTTCATACAGAGAACGAGGTTTTCTATTAAATTCTACGGGAATACATTTCCGGAGTTCAATCAAGGTGTCAGATATGTTTGATACTTTGGCATTGGAAATTTTGGTTGAAGGTTTGCCACAGCACCACAAATTAACCAGCAATTTCTTTGTTACGCCCAGACAAACAAGGTGCATATAATCTAACGGAAAGCTATCTATCATGTCGATCCCCGGAATGTGTTCCAAAATTAATGAACCCGTATGATGTTCTTCTTGCAATTTTAATCTAAATTCAGAGTCGGTTCTTAAGCGAATGTTCGTCACATCAGGGAAACATATTCTATTTTCTATGAATTCTCCTTCAGATTGACACTTGGTGCAAGAAAAATAGCCTATATGCCCTTTCACGCATTTAATAGAGGCTTTAGCAGGGGCATCACATATAAAAGATTTAATTTTTAAACGATGTAATTTTCCATTTATTAAGAATCCGTTATTAATGACATCTATTGCCTCCTGCACAAAATCATTTAAAAAACTATTTATATTTTTGGATTTCTCATAACCATGATAAATACCAATCATATCTACTACATTTTTATGCCCTGCAACGCTACATAAAATCGGATAAACTTGACTACTTGAACTTTTACATATGTAATGGCAATTCGTCAATATTAATATTAATTTGAATTATATTGTTAATAATAGAAGACATATTTCATTCCGAAATGATAATACTGTCCCGGTTCAACAGACGTTGGATTTATTTTTCTTGTAGTTTTTAATAGTGTCCTGGCATCTGAAGGTAAATTTTGTGGAACTGGTTTTTTTAAAATGGAAAGTAAATCATTTACCGCGGAATGAGGAATGTAATATTGTAAAATCCACTCTACTAACGAATATTGAAAACTATCATCTAATGTTTCTTCTGAGGCAAGTGTATTATAGTTATTAAACGCGGTACTTTCTTCGGAGCGGATTGTTTGTTCGAAAATTTCGTTTTGAAAATCAGTAGGACAATCAACAGACGCAAAATCATTTTCGGAAAAAGAAGGGTTCTCTACAAAATTATGTGTATCCTGATTTCCTAAGCTTACTGTGGATGCTGTAGAGGTTTCTTGATGTGAACGACTATATAAAGTGAGCAGAGCTCTGTTTGCTCGCATGTAATATTTATTGAGTTTAACTTTTCCTGACATTCTTAGGTTGATATGAACTAACTAAGCAAGAGATTGAAAGAAAGGTGTTAATAGTGTCGAAACTACAAAGTGACGATGATATTTTTGTATATTACCTCTTGTATATTACTGCGTCCACGTGCAAAATGTACAGCACAGAGTAGGTAATAGGAAAGCCGTAAAACAACAAACTGTAAGAAAACTATAATTTAGTTTGAAAAAGTAATGAAAATATATTAAAAAATAATAACAACGAAATAATAATCACTTTACTTACTTAAGCACTTTTTCAATAATGAAAATCCAACAAACTGAAAGTAGGTAATATTGGACACAAGGCGAAATACACACTTCAACAACTCGCAGGAAACTGACCTTGACTTGTAGTGACCGTCCTTTTTATAACACCCCGACTTGGAGGACCTTTCTTTAAGAAGGGGAAACGTGCTGACAGAACGCATATGACCTGCCTCAAAACATCGTCCAAAAGGGTCTAGCCGGATAAGCATAGCGAATCCTGCTTTTCTCTATCTTAAGAGGCTAAGCCAATTGGTTAAATATTGTATATTTCTTCAGCTACAGTCCCAAATGTTTGAAAATTGTATTAGGGTCATTCTTATAAATATGTATTTATTTATTTCATAATGTTATGACGTACACCAGACACTACTGTTGCATTTACTAACTGACAAGTATTTTGTAATTTTAACACAAAATACGTCTGTTTCATCCTCCTTGGACGCCTCTGCGTTTTCCCTCCTTAAATATTCCTCCAAATGAAATCTTTCTCTTAATATTTCTTTGAATAAATAAAGATGTATGATGAGTATCGGAGGCAATCCGTTCCGAATAACGCAGCTTCTCAATCACATAACGACTACGGTTTTCAGTTTCTTCACATCCGTGCAGTATTTTTATTACATACAATATTCATATTTCTTGTAACATATTCAAGTAAAATATTTCGTGTAATATATTTATATGAAATATTCCCTATGTCGAACGAGCGAAGTTTGAACATCAAATTTGTAGGAGAAGTGAAAATACAGAAATGAGTACCTGCAGGTACCTGGTTATACACACGAGGGTTAACTATGAAAAATATCAAAAAAAAATTTGAAAAATTGAACGGCCAAGAGTGGTTACTAATATAGTTCTTGAAGTATAAATAGGGTCATTTAGTCGTATACGAGGTCTGCTGGTATTGCTTTCAGACCAGCGGTATAGACAATTGACCATAATAGCTGAACGGACAACTCACCTACCTGAAACCAGGGTATACCGCGCTCTTTTCCAGGTCATTGTGACGCCAGTTTTCAATTCAAATAAAAGTGAATACATTTCATTAGAACGAAAACATTGTATTATACCTACCTGAATTCGCGGCTATTCAAATACAAAGGGTATAGCCGGATAAGATGGTCAAAAGTGCCCCCAAACCAAATTCGACTTGCTATGAACCATTCGATAGGTGATCAAAGAAAACCAGTCTGAGCCAAGTTTCAACCCTGTATCTCATCTGGGAGGGTAGTTACGGATAAAAATGTAATTGCGAGGTTTTTGGCGAATTTCTCCCATTTAATGATATTCAAAAATTCTGAAAAAAATCTGAGACATTTCTATTTGTGAGGCACATATTACAGAATTTTTTCAGATTTTTAGATTGAAAACTGAAGCCGTGAAAAATCAAAAACGTCAAAAAATGCTGAAAAATGGCGATTTTATATTGAAGGAGCTGAAGTCCTACGATCATATTTTTTTTATAAGTGTATATTATTGATACTATGATCCTCAATTTTTTCAGATTTTTTGGAGAGGTGCGCCATAGTTAAAAAAATTAGAAACCGATTTTTTCGCTGTTTTTTGCGTGTTAGAGTTACTTATTCGACGAATTTTCGTCTGTTATTTATGAAATACATGGTATATACACTGTTTAATGTTTTTATATGCAATGGAATAGAATAGGAATTAAACTAAATAAACCTAATTGATAAAAGTACATTACGTCTGGTATATTTCAAAAGATTAAAGGTATATTCAACGGTGTCGGTAGTCCAGCAGTAAAGCGTCTGACTGCTAAACCGCTAGAAAGTTCTTTTCGTAGGTTCGAGTCCACTCAGACCCAATCTTTTTTTTTTGGAAATACATTTTTTCAAACTTCTACCTACATGATTGTTACGTTGCGCGTTGCGTGAGCGCGCAACGTAAAATTAATTATAAATATTTGTTTTATATATATATAATAATTCTTATTTTTGGGCGATGAGAAAGGTATCGCTGCCACCAGTTCTGACCGCGTATGACGCGGAAGCGTCCTCTACGGTCAGAACGAAATTAAAAGACGGAAAATTTAGATAATATTTATTTCCGTTGGGTTCGTTAGCGCTCTGGGTCCCATACGGGTCCCTCCTTGAAACCTTGTGTTGGTATGCGTGGATTTGAAATGTAAAATGAAAAAGGAAATGATACAAATGGAACTTGAAAGAAATGCGAATGCAATTTAGTGTGCAAAAAGAAAGTAATTTAATTCAAAAATAACTATCGAAGCTAACAGAGCTGAATTTTGAAATGACTAATTGTTTGAATACTAAAATGATTCTATTAAATTTCTGTTAGTCACTGTTAAGTAAATTCAATTGATAACAATACTGTTTAAACAAGGGTAAAGATGCTTAACCTATTACGTTAATAATATAAATGAAAATCGAAAAATGTCTAACCTTTGGTTTACAATGAGAGCTTCTATTGTAATTATTACGCGTATTTGAGATGTGAAAATGTATGGTTAACGTAGGACGACTGCCTCGACCTGATACAATGAAGAATCGAATTTTAGGCGGTTTCTATCCGCAAGGAGACGACCTGCATGAAGAGACTCTTATAACCCCCGAAAGGGCCTTACGGGTCGTCCCTGATAAAATATCTCGCAGTCGAAGCAATCGTTACCCACACACATTCGCGATGATTAGAAAAAGTTCGGAATATTAAAATAGCGAAATATAATATGTTCGGTACCTGAATGTAGAAACGAGACGATCTAAAATGAAGAGACTCTTATAACCCGTAGGCTTAATAGATCGCCCGTTTTGCCGTGTCTAAATTGAATATTAATGCCGTGCTCGACAAATTAGTACAGAACAGGCTTACCGTGAAACTGTAGAATGCAATACAAGATAAAAAAAATCGCTCTGTTGTTTGCTATTTGGTCGTTGAAAATCGCTGTTGTATCTGGAACACCAAGAAAGGTTGAGAGATCTGTGGTGGCACTTCACTTGTCGCGCGCCCGTTTGTCGTTTGTTGCAAAATTAATTAGACGAACACAAGACGATTACGCTCTTCGGAATAATATAATAATAAACGCGAGTGAATTTAATACGAAAGTTACGCGAACAACGGATTAAAAGAAAGAGAAAAGATAGAGGTTTAATAGTGTGAAATGGCTTTACGTGCGCGTCTCTGAGTTCTTGCCGCGTATCCGGAATTTCACTCTCACGACACTCTGCCTAATCCGTAGGTCTTGCCGCGCAGGTAAATTACAACGAAGTACGAACGACAACTCTATCTCTAGACGCACGGGCTCCCGTCCCGACTTACTCGATTGTTCGACGAAGAGTGATCAGAATCGATCGCGATCCTAGCCGGAAGGGCCCGTCGCGAGGACGATGTCCTGCGTGGGGACATTTCGGCAAATCATAGCGCGTGACGACAGCGTCGCGTGCGTCGCTATTGGTTAAGCGCGCGTGCCAGCTAAATTCCTCTAGATCATGTTTTCTCTCTTTCTTGGTGTTCCCTCTCTGTCTAACGGCTTTTCGATGTTTCTACGCCGTAGAATTTCTGGAATGTTCTATTCTCATCGATAATTCCAATATTAGATATATATATAATGATGCGATTATCAACTAATAGTTTAAATCAGAATTATTGCTATAAACATGAACTATATCTGTTGTACTATTAAGTATGAATAATGGACCGGTTATCACGAGGTTTCTTAATTAACAGTTGGCTTGTTCACAATCATTTGTTCGCAGAGAACTCGATCAACAATATGGATTGCGCCGGTACGCTCGATATAAGGCATTCGGTGTTCGATTGCTATTTTCCAATAACGACAGGTTTCCATTATTAATCGAATATTCGTTATTTCAGTTGCGACGTAGTTGCTTCGAGAACGTTCTCGTCATTCGAAAATTACCGTTAGGTTTTCGGTTTCAGGCAAATTCTCGAAATTCGATACAAAGACTTTTATTGCCTCGCACGACCCTTTGCCTCTAAACAGTCCTCGAACGCATGCTAGCGTTTGCCTGCAAGGGTTCTCATTCCTCGCTCTCGCATTCATACAAATATTCAACGAGCTACATTGCTTTGCGTTCTCATTCCAGCAATCAATTCATACACGCGATCGGGTTAGGGACCGACTGGCGCCCACGCGTGGAAAAGAGGAGAGTATCAGTAAAAATCTAAAGATAAATTGATCTTTACGCTTTTGCGCAGTTAACCTGAGGAGACCCCTACAATGCGAAGCACTGGCTAACCGCGCCGCGAACGGTGTTTATGATACTTTTCCTCGGTCGAAGCCGAGTTTTTCTATCACGCGTTTCTGTTACTACGCAGTTGAGCACGACGATAGTTTCAAGGAGGGGTTTCAACTAAGAAAAGAATTGAGAAATATGAGAAGAATGAAAGAATAGGAAAGACAAAAGCAGAATAATTATAAGCTCAAACTTTTCCCTGCGCATTTCCCACATGAAGAAGTCTCTTACAACCCGAAGGCTTGATGGGAAAGCACAGAGTCAAGGAGAAATTAAAAAAAAGTGCAGTAGTAGTTTGCCCTCCCCACGCCCCTTACATGAGGAGACTCCTATAACCCGAAGGCTTGATAAGGGAACGTGAGGCGGACAAATTTGGAAAATTTTCCGGACGTAACATGATAATCGTTAATATACTTGTTTACAAATGTTTCAATAATATTTTTTAAATATTTTTATCTGTAATATACATATACCATTTTGAAGTACTTTCTATTCTACCGTTTCTCTTGTCATGTATTTTGTCAGTTACAGTATTGTTTAATATTATTCATTATCTTTAACAATTCTGGATAAGTAGTTTGAAAAAACTGGATAAGTGTGAAAAAATGTATTAACAAAAAAAAAAGATAGATTCTGGAGTGGACTCGAACCTACGAAAAGAAGCTTCCAGCGGTTTAGCAGTCACGCGCTTTACCGCTGGACCACCGACACCGTTAGAAATATCTTTAATCTTTTGAAGTATAACGGACGTAATGTACTTTTATCAATTAGGTTTATTTAATTTAATTCCTATTCTATTCCATTGCATATAAAAACATTGAACAGTGTATATACCATGTATTTCATAAATAACAGACGAAAATTCGTCGAATAAGTGACTCTAACACGCTAAAAACAGCGAAAAAATCGGTTTTTAATTTTTTTAACTATGGCGCACCTCTCCAAAAAATCTGAAAAAAATTCAGGATGATAGTATCAATAATATACAGTTATAAAAAAAGTATGATCGTAGGACTTCATCTCCTTCAATATAAAATCGCCATTTTCCAGCATTTTTTGACGTTTTTGATTTTTCACGCCTAGGATTTGCAACCGAAAAATCTGAAAAAATTCACAATCATAAAGAAACATGGCTAAAATATTCTAGAATTTTTTCAGATTTTTTGAATGCCATTAAATAGGGAAAATATGGCAAAATCCACTTTCTTTCTCACCCTGTAACTACCCTCCCGGTTGAGATACAGGGTTGAAACTTGGTGTACAATGGTTTTTTATTATAAGCTATAAAATGGTGCATTGCTGAATAAAATCGGCTCAAGGGCACTTTTGACCATCTTATCCTGCTATACCCTTTGTATAAAATTTGAGCATTTATATCGCCAATATTTATCAGAGTGTAGAATAAAATAATTTTTAACAAAAAATAATCCGACTTCGAAATGCACTAAAAAGTATAAAATAATTTCTATTTCATTTATACCAGTATTCAATAGCTATTAATAAAATCTACTTAATCGTTAAATAGGATACTAAATACATTTCAAAGTTTTCGGAGGCGGCGCAAAATTAAAAAGTTTTCTTCTATTAGGAAGATCATAGTTCAGACGTCGGCAACCTGTGACAAATGACTCGTTTGATAATTTCAAGTATATTCAACGGGAATCAACATACCCATTGCGGATTAACTATATTGCAGTTCATGAGGGACCATACTTAAGGGCACAGACTCCTTGTGCCATGACCTGTATGCGTGCACTCACACAATCAACGGAAAGCATGCACGTATACACCATGCATGAGAGAGACACTCGATTTCGTAGATTTCGTTTTTCGTCTCGATAATTGCACAAATGAAATTTTCGCGGGTACAGCACTCACGGGTAGACTTCAGCACAGGGTGGTCTGGTCCGTTTGAACGCTAATAAACACCATACGTTGAGAAAAATGATATTTTCGACACTGTAAGATTGAGACAGACGCTGTTGTAAGCAAACAACATGGCTGCCGAATGCTGCGTTCGGCTGCATTTTAGCAAATATTGGACGATTTAATGGTTTTTTCACTCATAGCACACCAGACCACCCTTCCTTGAACTAGCACAATGTCACTGAAATTCGATTTTTCACAATTTATCACTTCTGGAAGATGTAAAACGAAATTTACGATTTGCACGCATCAGACGTCAAATAGACGGAAGAATAGTTCACTGATTTTCCGTCAGAGGCATTGATGGTACATTTGACCACGTTATCATCGGGGTCGATAAAAACAGAAATCAGTCGATAAATGTAAATTCTAATTTGACACCACAAACAGCTATGCGAATAT